CCAGGAGAAGGTTGTACACAGTAACAGCAACATTGTGTAATGACTAATACTGATAGACTTAGCCCTTCTCAGCAATGCAAGGATCTAAGACATCTCCAAAAGTCTCATGATGAAAAAAGTCCACATCCAAAGAAAGAACTATAGAGTTTGAATGCAGATGAAGCATACCATTTGCTATTTTTTCTTCTGTTTCGCTTTGTTTTCTCTTTCTTGTGGTTCCTCCTATTGGTTCTAATTCTTCCTTACAACATCACAAATGTGAAAATATGTTTAATAGGAATGTACATGGATAGCTGATGTCAGATTGCATGCCGTCTTGGGGACGGAGGTAGGGAGGGAGGGGGAGAAAAATTTAAAACTCAAAAGCTTATGGAAGTGATTGTTAATAAGTCAAAATAAATTAATAAATAAAAAGAAATTACTCTGAAATTTTAAAAAATTATAATTCGTGAGTGAGTCAAAACATCACACCAGGATGTCATTGGTTCTCCTAAAAAAAATGAAACATCAACAACAATAACTTCTCTGTTAACTGTATAACCATAAAGTTATGAATGCTGTAAAAAAAATAATTTGCAGAAGCCTGCTTGTTCCCTTTTTATGTTTTCACCAAACATACCCTTTATACATACGTAGAACATTCTCATGTAGATTTTATAAAGATTAGAAAATAGGCATCCAGGTCAGTAATTATTGACATATTCTTCCCTGATCACCTTTTGGGGGACAACAATATGTTCCATTATTTTTTTCCTTCTTTGTTATCTACCTTTTCCTCAGATATATTATAAAATGACCCTTCACTGTTAGCAATGGGTACAGATTTTCTCGGTGTTTATAATCCAGTTGCTTTTTCCCACTTTATCTTCTTAAGTACTGTTTTAACTTCTTTTTATAATACATGGGAGAGTGAGACAGTAGAAGCCAAATGTGGTGGTACCATTGTCTTTAATGATGAAAACTGACTGTTATAGAAATGCTGACAAATTTGTTCCATTCCTATATAGTTGTGGTCCTTCTCCCAAGTTTCTCTATGAATTCTCTTGGGATGATATGGCTTAGTTTGGTCTCATGCAAAGCTTTCCGTAATCTTTTCACTTCCACTGCTTTTTACTTTTCATCTGTTAAACAATAATGCTTGTAATCTTCTACCATCCTCCTCCTTTAAAAAAATTTTTATTCTAAATGAGTGTTGCCTTTACCCACCTTATATCTTTTTCTATTATCTTCTGCTATTTCCCTTTTTTCTTTTTTGGCATCAATAGTTCATTTGAGTAGTCTAGCATGAAGCTTTGGCAATATCATCTTTATCTTTTTTTAAATTGGATGTTGATTTTGACCTTTATCCTAATTACTTGATGGTCTGATTGCAATCAGAAAGCTTATTCTGTCTAAAGATTTAGTTTCATCCTTAAAAAGGAAAAAAGAACCACTAACCCACCCCCACCCCTCTGCCCTGCCAACTTCAAAATGAGATAACAGAGTGACAGTGGTCTGGGAGGATCTTGTTTAGTTGGGTTTTCTTGGCAAAGATACTAGAGTAGTTTGCCATTTCCTTCTTCCAGCTATTTTGCAAATGAGGAAACTGAGGCAAACAGGATTAAATGACTTGCCCAGGGTCACACAGTTAATATCTGAGGTCAGATCTGAACTCAGAAAGATGAGCCTTCCGGACTCCATCTCCAGCACTCTATATCTATATCTGCCCATATAGATCATAGGATTTTGATTTTAGAGAGCATTAGTTCAATGACAGCCCTTTAAGTATTCTGATCTATGGAATTTGGTCATAAGATTTAAAATCAAATAAAATCTTAGAGATCTAGTTCCAACCACCTCATTTCATAGATGAGGAAACTGAGAGCTCCAAGAGCCAAAAGACGGAGATCATAAAAGTAGCCAGTTGTAGAGCCAGACTCTGAACTCTGGTCTTATGACTTCAAAATACATTACAATGTTGACTGTAGCTCCATGAAACCAAAAGTTTAAAAGATATCCACAGTTTTTAAAAGGAAAAAAGCCCACTCTAATCTAAAGTAATTCTCATTTAAAAAACTCTGGGGTTTGGTGGGAGATTGCATAGCTGGTAGTCTATAAATGTTTGCTGAATTAAAAGCTCACAATGAATGATACTGTATCTTACTGGAGGAGACTCCTACATCTTCAAACCATTATTATGAACAAAAGTATCTCTGAGCTTAAATTATTTTCAAGTGAGCAATATTTATATACACAAAGAGCAAAAGTATTTTTATTTTGTTTTTCTTTTTTGTTAATTTTATTAATTTATTTTGATTTATCAATAATCACTTACATATGCTTTTGAGTTTAACATTTTTCTCCTCCTTCCTCCCCACCACCCTTCCCCAAGATGGCACACAATCTGATATAGGCTATACATTTACATTCCTATTAAACATATTTTCACATTAGTGATGTTGTAAGTAAGAATTAAAACTAACAGGAAGAACCATCAGAAAGAGGAAACAAAACTCAACAGAAGAGAAAAAAATAGCAATTCAACCTCCACAGTTCTTTCTTTGGATGTGGATAGCATTTTCCATCATGAGGCCTCTGGATATATCTTAGATCCTTGTATTGCTGGGAAGGGTTAAGTTTATCAATATTAGTCACCACACAATGAGGCTGTTATTGTGTACAATGTTCTCTTGGTTCTGCTCACTTCACTTAGCATCGGTCCATACAAGTCTTTCCAGGTTTTTCTGAAGTTGGTCTGTTCATCATTTCTTATAGCACAATAGTATTCCATTACATTCATATACCACAACTTGCTCAGCCATTCCCCAATTGATGGGCATCCTCTCAATTTCCAATTCTTTGCCACCACAAAAAAGAGCTGCTATGAATATTTTTGTACATGTGGGTCCTTGTCCCATTTGTATGATCTCTCTGGGATATAGCAAAAGTATTTTTAGAAAGATACATTAAGCATACAGGAGCACCATGAAGTCGGAAGACTTTGTCTAAGGTTTAAATGTCTCAAAAAACATAAAAAAACCACTGGCACAAACTAGTGTCAATTCTAAATTCGCACTTCTATATTTCAGTGCTGTGATATCCTCTTTAAACAACTTTTTATGTATTTGGATCCTTCATTCTCTTTCATTTACACCGTGAATGCAATATGTCTTTCCAAATACATGCACATAAACATCTCAAATGACATATTATTGACTGAGTTTTCTCCTCCTTCTTGATTCTTGAAAGAGGAAACGAAGGGAATGTAAGAAATGAAGACATCTACTCTCTCTACTATTATTTTTTTGGGGGGTAACTGGGGTTAAGTGACTTGCCCAGGTTCACACAGCTAGTAAGTGTCAGGTCTGAGATGGGATTTGAACTCAGGTCCTCCTGACTTCACTGTGCCACCTACCTGCCCTTCTCTCTACTATTCTGTTTAAAGTCTGCTAACATCAATACCGTGCCTCTACAGCTTTTCTTGATTAAAATTTTTGATCCTTATTTAAAATTTTTTGAAAGAACAGAACTATATATGGTTCTTAGACTCTCCATTTTCTTTTCAAAAGATAAATAATTTAACTTAGTTTTATAGAATTCTTACACTTCTCACTAAGATAATTTAAAAATTACACAAGATTTGGGAGCAGCTAGGTGGCGCAGCAGATAGAGGGAGTCCTGGAGTTAGGAGGACCTGAGTTCAAATCTGCCCTCAGACACTTGATACTGACTAGCTGTGTGTGTAACCCTGGGCAAGTCACTTGACCACAACTGCCTCACCACCCCCCCAAAAAAAAACTGCACAAGAGTAGAAATCTTAACATGTATCTTTAAACTTTAACAACATAGATTATAAATATGATTTTTAAAAAACCTATAAGCAATATTTAAAGGAAAATTGAATATTCTTCTTAGTGCTTATATGTATTTTAATTCTATTCATCATAGAGTTGAAGCTATTTTTGTCAATGATTTGAAATATGAATATTCTGTAAAGTAAAATATAATTATTCTAAGATGGATATATTTGCCTTTACAGATTATTTGGGTTATTAACAACAACCTCACTTATTAAAATTTTAAAGTACACAAATACCTTGTAAAGACCCTGCATACTACTAAGATGTGCTATTTGAAAACATGATGGTGCTCTGCAGCAGAGGGCCATGGCGATAATATAAATTTGTTGATTTTCACAGTATGTGTAGGAAGGGCTCAACCAGAGGTGGGGAACCTGGAGGCCACATATGGCCCTCTAGGTCCTCAAGTGCGGCCCTTTGACTGAATCCAAACTTCAAAGAACAAATTCCCTTAATAAAAGTATTTGTTCTATAAAACTCGGACTCAGTCAAAAGGCCCCACCCGAGAATCTAGAAGGCTACATGTGGCCCGGAGGCTGCGGATTTCCTATGTCTGGGCTAAACCAGGGGGTGGGATCTTTCCTAATAGTAATTAGTGTGCCAACTCTGTGTTCTCTTGTGGTCATATTGCAGCAGTACAAAGAATACAGTTCAAACATTTACAACAGAATGGAATAAGAAACAGTCACATACCTGCCACCAGCAGCAAATAAACTGCATTACAAATTTTCCCATGAGCTTTTTCAATTAATTTTACTCAGTCTCTATCTCAATAAATAGAAAGGGAAATCACATTGTTGAGTGTGCACTGGAATGTGGCTATTTCCCTTTACACATGAATAATACTATGGGTTAGCTAGGTGGTGTAGTGGATAGAGCATCGGCCCTGAAGTCAGGAGGGCCTGAGTTCAAATCCAGCCTCAGACCAAACACTTGACACTTACTAGCTGTGTGACCTTGGGCAAATCACTTAACCCCAATTGCCTTTAAAAAAAAAAGAAGAAGAAGAATACTGGGATGATGGGATTGTAGTCACCATCTGAGATAAAGGTGTGATTCTTTGAACTAAACTCTAGTAATATTAACTGTGAAAGAGAAGAAGAAGGGGGAGCAAAAACCAAGAATTAATAGAAGATAAATAGTAATCAGAACAATACATACACGGGTACTATCTGTCTTCCTTTCAAATGGAACTGGCATGATATAGTTTAGGATTGAAAGCTGGTCCAGGGTATCCTCCAGAACTGCAGAAATCCTGAGAATATCCAGAAGAGGGAGTGTATCAATTATTTCCTGGATGACTGGTAATTCTCCAGGTGGGAGTGTTGCTTCAGGTTCATCAGGAACATTAACACCAGAAGGAGGAGCTCCTGTCACTGCCACAACTTGAGGATGCAAAATCTTTGAAGGCATGTATACTTCCCCTTCCTCCTCCTCCTCCTCCTCCTCCCTAATAAGAATCAGACAAGCACATGAGTTAGCCTGAGTAATGCTTGAAGTAATACATATGCTGAAAATCTCTTAATTTGTACAAACTTATAGAAATGTTTTAAATTCCCCAAATTTTAGACTTGGTCCAAACTCTAAAGCCAGGCAGGATGAAACTCAGATTTGACCTGAAAGGAAACCATGTTGGTCACTGATTTGTATGAAGAAGAGAACTAATTTACCGTGAGCTGGAGGACCATCTAAGGCTTTGCTTGCATATCCTAGAGCAATATTTGAGACAACTCTAATAACAACCCTACTAGGAAATGCAAATACCTTTTGTGTGTGTGTGTGTGTGTGTGTGTGTGTGTGTGTGTGTGTGTGTGTGTGTGTGTGTGTGTAGACTTGCCCAGAGTCACAGAGCTACTGAGTGTTATGCGTCTGAGGGTGGATTTGAACTCAGGTCTTCCTGACTCCAGGGCGGGTGCTCTATTCACTGCACCATCTAGCTGCCCCTACCTTACTTTTTTTTAAAATGAATTTCATTTATATCTTTGGTATCATTTCTCCTCCACCACCTTAAAAAGTTATCCTTTATAACAAAAGATTTTAAAAAGATATCAATAAATTTCTTTATTTTTCTTGAAGTTTTTTTTTGGTCTATATTTTCTTTTACAAAATGACTAACATGGAAATATGTTTTGCATGACTACAAATGTATAACCTATATCAAATTGCTTGCCTTCTCAATGATGGGGGTGGGAAGGGAGAGAATCTGGAATTCAAAGTTTAAAAAACGAATGTTAAAAATTGTTTTTGCACACAATTGGGGGGGAATAAAATACTAAATAATTTAGAAAAACATTTTAAAATCAGTAAAACTGATCAATAAATTGAAAAAAAAATTGACAATATATGCAATGTTCCATACCCATGGACCCTTCCTCCTACACCTTTGCAAAAGAGTCAGGAAGAAAACACATCTTACTTTTTGTTTTATTTTTTGTTTTCTGTTGGGTTTTTTTGGGTTAGGCAATGGAGTTAAGTGACTTGCCCAGGCTCACACAGCTAGTGTTATGTGTCTGAGGCTGGATTTGAACTCAGGTCCTCCTGAATCCAGGGCCAGTGCTCTATCCACTGTGCTACCTAGCTGCCCCCGTCTTACTTTTTAAGAAAGATGTGTAAGTCCATGTCATTCAAATGTCTTTGTTTGTCTTAGTATGGATTTGAGCCAAACTTCAAAAACTTTATGCTATCCTATCAAATAGCAATCTGTTAAGTATATGTATCTGTGGTGCAAAAATGCTTATCAGTGTCTTATATAAAAGCACCTAAAATATCTATAAGATTTTAAAACTTGGAATTTGAACTTACTTCTTTATCAATGAGATATACTTAGTGTCTTCCATTGGGGCTTCAACACTTCATAAAAATGTAATCACCTGAAAGAGGAAAGTAAAATTAGGTTTAGTTTACTAGAGAGATTAAAGAAGTTTAAAATTGTTCTTGCCATCCAGGAAGATATTATGGCGTCACCAAAAAAGCATCAGCTTTCCCCCTGAATTAACATACTGATTTCCTATTTTCTCCCTTTTCACATTATATAGTGAAATTCCAGAACAGAAAGAATAATGAGAATAATTTGGTCTACTAACAACTCAACCTAAGAAATAACAAGGCTAAAAGCAAATAAAAATATTATATAGTTTTTTTGAAACATTTATTTTGTTGGTTAGATGGTTTGTTATGAAGCCACAATTAGCCTGTGAGATAGGTAGTAAACACTCTAAGGCTCAGACAAGTAAAGTTGAATCGCCTGTGGTCCCACAGCTTCGGTGTCACATCTGAAAGCCAAGTCCAAAGCTTTTGCTATCATACCACATTGCCTCATAGAAAATCATAACTAGAAGAAATGTCAGAAATAATCTAGTTCACTCCCTTTAGATGTCCAGGGAGCTTAAATAGGAGGAACTACGTCTCTTGAAATAAAATCTACTTCCTGAGAAAATGTTTCTGTTCTCTTTGAATAAACACAAGATATGGGGACATAAAATAACTATATAATGTATAAAATATTTAGGAGTCTACTTACTAAGACACACAAGAACCATATAAATACAACTACAAAACATACTTTACAAAGATAAAGACAGACTAAATAAGTGAGGAGATATTAGTTGCTCATATTTGGACTATACCAATATAATTAAAATGAAAATACTACCCAAATTAATTTACTTATTCAGTACCACACCAATCAAACTACCAAAGGATTACTTCAAAGCTGGGAGTTGGGGGGAAACCCCAACAAATTTCATCTGGTCAAATAAGGAGTCAAGATTCTCAAAATAAATAATAAGAAATAGTGGGCAGGAAGGGAACCTAGTAGTCTAGATCTTAACCTGATCTACAAAGCAGTAATCATCAAAACTATTCCATACTAAAAACAGAAAAGTCAGTGGAACAGATGCTATATAATATACAGAAAGAAAAGAATATAGTAACATAGTGTTCAATGAACCCAAAGACAATAACTTCTGATGTAAAGACTCCCTATTCAACAAAAACAACTTGGAAATCTAAAAAGCATTCTGAAAGTAATTAAGTTTAGACCAACATCTCACATCATATGCTAAAATAATCTTTAAGTAGCTACATGGCCTAGATATAAAAAAGAAAGAGAGAGGAGGGAGGGAGGGAGGGAATAAGCATTTATTAAGCACCTACTATGTGCCAGGCTCCATGCTAAGCCTTTTACAAACATGTTTACAAACACATTACAAACATTATCTGGGCACAGTTTTTGGAGAAGCAAGGAAGAAAATACTTTTTTCAATAAGGTATAAAGAAATCATGACAAAACATGGGATTAAAGAGGATCACAAAAGAGAAAACAGATCACTTCACATAAAATTAAAAAATGTTTGCACAAAATCAATGCATTCAAAATTAAAAAGGAAATAAGTTAACCAGGAAAAATCTTTACAACAAATTTCTCAGATTAAAGGCCTGATATTCAAGACATAAGAAAAACTATTTCAAACATAAAAGAAGGACAGCCGTTCCCCAAAAGACAAATGCTTCAAAGAAATGAACAGGCTGTTCCCAAAGGAAAAAAAATAAGCCATAAATATGGGAAAAATATTCCAAATCACTATTTTGAGAAATGTACATTGAAATAACTCTGAGGTTCTACTTCACACCTATCACACTGGCACTAACGCACTGATGCACGGCTGGTAGAACTGGGAGGTGGTCCAGTCTTTCTGGAGAGCAGTTTGGAGCGATGACCAAAAGGTCACTAAACTGTACATACCCTTTGACCCAGTGATACCAGCAGTAGGCCTATAGCCCCAAAAGATCAAAGAAATAGAAAAAGGACCCATGTGCACAAAAATATTTATAGTAGATCTTTTTGATGCAGCAAAGAACCAATGATAAAGTAGGCAATCATCAACTGAAGAATTCCTGAAAAAACTATATTATTTTGAATGTAATGCAATGTAATCACATAAGAAATGAAATTACAAAAGGGATAGTTTTAAAGAAACTTGGGATTGGCAGAGCCAAGATGGAGGAGTAAAAGCAATGACTCGCCTGAACTCTCCCCCATACCCCTCCCAATACTTGTAAAAAATGACTCTCAACAAATTCTGGAGCAGCAGAACCCACAAAAAAACAGAATGAAATAAATTTCCAGCCCAAGATAACCTGGATGGTTGACGGGAAGGGTCTGTTGCCCTCGGCTAGGAAAGGAACACAATTCAGCATGAGCACATCAGGCAAAGACTGGGGCCCAACAAACCTGGAGCAGGCCTCAGGGGCCTGAATCAAGGGAAGCTGTGGCGGTTTCTAGACTTCTCAACCCACAGATGCTAAAGACAATTTAGAAGCTCAGTGGGAAAGGTCTGTTGGACCTGGGTGAGAGAGGAACTTGGTCCAGGCCGCAGTCCTGGCACAGCCCTGGGGCTGCTGCTTCTGGAGCTCTCAGCCCACAGACGATGGGGGAATCAAGCAGCTGATCAGAGAGGGATTGCAGGGATCTCTCTGCTGGTGCTGAGGCAGGATTCTCTTGCATTACCCATGCTTGGATCTGCTTCCCAGTTCTGGGAGGCAGTCCTGGGGCAAGGAGGAGCACTGGCATAGCTGAGCTTGGGGCAGCAGCAGAGAGGGAACCCTCCTCTCACTTCCAGGGCAGAAAAGAGTGCTTGTGGTCACTCATGGACCAGAATACAGGCCAGGAGAGGAGTAAACACCTCTTCTTAGATCATGCCACCTTGGAAGAACTGAAAACTTACAGGTCCCTAGAAGTATCTCTGAAAACAGCTGCACAAAACCCATGAAGCTTGAGAGACTATACCCTCCACACTGCAAGCAGAGCCTACCTTAACAAAGAGTTAAAAAGTCAAGTGACTCTCTAGGAAGATGAACAAATAGAGGAAAAAAGCTCAGATTATAGAATCTTACTTTGGTGACAAGGAAGATCAAGGTATGCGCAACCAGAAGAAGACAACAAATTCTGGCTTCCTACATCCAAAGCCCCCAAGAAAAATACGAATTGGTCTCAGGCCATGGAAGAGCTCAAAAAGGATTTTGAAAACCAAGTAAGAGAAGTAGAGGAAAAATTGGGAAGAGAAATGAGAATGATGCAAGAAAATCATGAAAAACGAGTCAACAGCTTGCTAAAGGAGACCCCAAAAAAAGCTAAAGAAAATAACACCTTAAAAAATAGACTAGCCCAAATGGCAAAAGAGGTCCAAAAAGCCAATGAAGAAAAAAATGCCTTAAAAAGCAGAACTGGCCAAAGGGAAAAGAAGGTCCAAAAGCTCACTGAAGAAAATATTTCCTTAAAAATTAAAATGGAACAAATAGAAGCTAATGACTCTATGAGAAATCAAGAAATTATAAAACAAAACCAAAAGAATGAAAAAATACAAGACAATGTGAAAAAACTCATTGGAAAGACAACTGACCTGGAAAATAGATCTAGGAGAGATAACTTAAAAATTATTGGACTACCTGAAAGCCATGATCAAAAAAAAAAGAGCCTAGCTAGACATCATCTTTCAAGAAATTGTCAAGGAAAGCTGCCCTGATATTCTAGAACCAGAGGGTAAAACAGAAATTGAAAGAATCCACCAATCACCTCCTGAAAGAGATACCAAAAGGAAAACTCCCAGGAATATTATAGTGAAATTCCAGGGTTCCCAGGTCAAGGAGAAAATATTGCAAGCAGCCAAAAAGAAACAATTCAAGTATTGTGGAAACACAATCACGATAACACAAGATTTAGCAGCTTCTACATTAAGGGATCTGAGGGTTTGGAATATAATATTCCAGAGGTCAAAGGAGCTAAGATTACAACCAAGAATCACCTACCCAGCAAAACCAAGTGTAATCAATAAGGGGAAAAAATTTATATTCAATGATGTAAAGGAATTTAATGCATTCTTGAGAAGCCAGAGCTAAATAGAAAATTTGACTTTCAAATATAAGATTCAAGAGAAGCATGAAAAGGTAAACAGGAAAGAGAAATCATAAAGGACTTATTAAAGCTGAACTGTTTACATTCCTACATGGAAAGATGATATTTGTAACTCATGAGACCTTTGTCATTATTAGGATAGTTGGAGAGAATATATATAGACAGAGGACACAGGGTGAGTTGAATATGAAGAGACGATATTTAAAAAATGAAAATTAAGGGGGTGAGAAAGGGAGAAGTAGAATGGAGTAAATTATCTCACATAAAAGAGGCAAGAAAACACTTTTACAGTGGAGGGGAAGGGGGGGAGGTAAGAAGGAACGAGTGTACTTTACTCTCATCAGATTTAGCTTACGGAGGAAATAACATACACACCCAATAGGATATGGAAATCTATCTTACCCTACAGGAACATAGGGGGAAAGGGGATAAGAGAGGGAGGGGTGATAGAAAGGAGGGCAGATTGAGGGAGGAGGTAATCAGAAGCAAACACTTTTGAGGAGGGACAGGGACAAAGGAGAGAACAGAATAAATGGGGGCTGGGATAGGATGAAGGGAAACACAGTTAGTCTCTCACAACATGACTATTATTGAAGTGTTTTGCATAACTGCATATATGTAGCCTATGTAGAATTGCTTGCCTTCTCAATAAGGGTATGTGGGGAGGGAGGAGGAGAGAGAATTTGGAACTCAAAGTTTTAGAAATGAATGTTAGAAATTGTTTTTACTTGCAACTGGGAAATAAGATACACAGGCAAAGGGGTATAGAAATCTATCTTACCCTACAGGAAAACAGAAAAGGAAGTGGATAAGGGAAGGGGGGTGGTAATAGAAGGGAGAACAGATTGGGTGAAGGTGGAATCAGAATGTAGGCTGTCATGGGGGGGGGAGGGAAGGGATGGGGAGAAATTTTGGAGCTCAAAATCTTGTGGAAGTGAATGCTGAAAACAAAAAACA